GCAACCCATTGAGTTTGGACGTTGTATGTATAACTCACAATTTTTATAAAAAAATTGAAAAATAACTTATATGATGATGTAATTGGGATTTGGGTAATAAATTTATTACAAAAATAAAGAATCTCAATCGTTTAATATTAAAATTAGTTGTACTAGTTATAGTTTTTGTTTAATAATTATACATATTTTTATTTTAATGTCGGCATAAGATTTAAATACAATCAATAATTAAAATTGTCAATACAGTATAATTATAAATTATATTCCCCATCTAGTTAGTAAACAACTATTAATTTGTATCTTATACTATATACACATTATGTATAATAAATAGTAAACCATTCGACTGTATATCATAGTCCTTAATCCATGACTTTCAAATTATTTAATGATACATCATATTTTTTTTTATCGTGCACTTATATGTGAGTAATAAACATTTTTCAGGGTAAACTAATGCACGCAACTTTATAAAAATAGAAATTTAACACGATGACGTAATTCTCAACAAATTAAAATTCGATACGGTAACAATTTTCATTATTTGGTTACTTTTCAGATATTGTTTTTAACAAAAACTCTGCGAATGACACCAAAGTTATGGATGTCACGCTTCTTAATTATTACTGTGTCAAAATAAATTACAATTTTTATAAAAAAAAAAAAGTTCTTAATTAATTTTTATAATATTGCGTATGTATAAAGTTTTGACAGAATGACGGTAAAAATTATTAGTATAAAAAACAACCTTTTAAAAGCTATATTATAACTTTTTAAATAAGTATTATATATAGTATTATAAATTATAATAATAAACAATTTTATTAAATGTAATTATGGATAATAACTAAATAATAAAAATATCAAATTTTAAATATTAAACAAATTAAAATAAATAGTAAATAGTTTGAAAATCTAAAGTATTATTTAAAATACCTGCTACCTAATACGATTATTATCAATAGCTACAAAGCAAACCTAAAAACTATTATACATAGCTTACCTATTAAATTTACGTTATATTTGTTTCATAGCTATTATTTCAAACAAAATAATTTTCGATATAATTATTACGACGTATTTATAATGACAAAATAAATTATAATAGTAAAAAAAAAACTGACATATATTTTTTTAAGTTATTAATTCCCTTTTAATACTGTGTGCACGCTATTTTGACAAAATGACGGGGAGTCATTTAAGATTAAAAAAAAGTACATTTTAAATGCCGTACGACGTTTATAATAAGTTTTAAATAGAACAAACGATTTTATGAATTCAAACAGTCGGCGGGGGGTAAAATAATTTCCATCAAGCTTTTAAACAAGCCACACCAGTAGAACTCACTTTTATGGCTCGCGCTTGCGTCTCTACAATAATAATAAGCTTCCAAAAACCGCTCAAAGGGTAAAACGGTCGGTTTTAAACAAAATAATATAATATTAAGAAATTAATTATATGACAATCGCACCTGCAGTCTACAGTACCTATATAGGACATTCAACCCGCGTTATACCTCGATACCTCGATATGCGTACTTGTCATTAGCATCGATAAACACTGCGAAGGCAGAGAGAAAAATGACTGAGCGGTATAAGTGATAGATAGTGCTGGGGGATGTAATAGTTGGGAAGGGCGAGAGAGATAAAGAGGAAGGATTGATCGAGTAACAGTAAATTTGGAATGTATGTGTATATACATAGTCGAATAAACCTCGTGCACCGGACCCTCGCGTACAATTTGTATACTTATGTATACACAAGCGCAATGAACACACACGCCCACGCATAAAAGCAACCAATTTGCCAGCACCGTGAGTCGTGCGTTTGCGACAAATGTTATAATAACATTTGTTTCCTCTGCACGCCCCTTGCCGGCAACAACGATGCGAATTTCCTACGACTCACAGCACATTCGCACTCTGTTACTCCAATCTCCATACGAGTATGTACTGTTTACCATAGGTTTCTATATGTGTGTGTGTGTGTGTAATATACACGGGCGCAGGAAGCAATAGTAGCAGCAAAACGTTTTGAGTTTTTGCAAAGGGGTGATGTGAGCGTGTGTGTTTGCGATATTAATATAATACACGCTGCGCACGGTGTACGGTTCTCAATAATAATAATAATAATGAATATACACAGAAGACAACGAGACATTTCTAATGGGTTGTCTGGATGACAAGGTAATTAGTGATTTAACCCGCTGTGAACCTTTCATAAGCACGCCCAAGGCCGCCAGTATGCATATACATCGTGTAATATACGAACGGGCGAATGACATACGCGAGTTACGAGGAATATCACTGCTACAACCCTTCTACGAGGAAATATGGATGCACAGCCTGAAATTGTACTATATAGTTCCCGTTAAATTCAATTAGACTCTTGTTCTTGCGAAGACCTGTACCGTCATGATATTATGTACATTTGTACGAGGCGCATATTGTACCTACGCATCTTACGGATACGAGCTTGAATATAATACAAAACATGAAGTATTGGTGGCACACTAATGTGCGGCGTAGCGGGAAACATGTCAAAGACGTGATGAAGTCGTTTTTCGGTTTCCACAATTTTCGTTTATCGTATAATAATAAATAATAAACAATATATCAATAACTTCGAACTCTTTGTTAATAACGCGTCTCGTCCGAACTTTGTCACTCGCGTTACTTTTATTGAAGTAAACTAAAAAGCACTATACAAATTATATTATGATTATACAGATATTTATTGATGACATTTGTTTTGACCCAGATTAACAGTTTTTGATAAAAGAAATTTATGATTATTTATATAATGATTTTTTTTTTTTTAGCAAATAAACAAATAATAAAATTAGGAAACTATATATTATATACACTATAATAATACCGCGAAAGTCATTTCACCAATTTAGCACAATAATTTAAATCAGTATGTTAGTTGTCTTAAGCATATAAACGTGGGTATTATATGTAGCGCGTTTTTTTTATAAGGTCCTTTATATAAGAACCTAATCCACATAATACGTAGTACAGTATTACGCGCCAACAATTCGTATTGCTCGATTTACCAATAGAAACGAAATAAATGAATCAAATATAACAATATATTACTCGTATTTTGGCATATTTCTGCGGCTTTTTAAAATTGTTTTATAACTTTTATTGGCAGGATGAACATCTTTGTTCGAGATCAGCTCCTCTGTACATTTTAAATACAAAATATGTAAGAGCAACACTTCGCGATAGTCTTCCAAACACGTTTTGAAACTCCAATTAATTACATCATATTAACATCTCAATACATAAACCTAACACCTAATAATAAAGTCATTATCGTTATTTCTACAATATTTTTTTATTTTTTTTTTTTTTTATCACTAATTTTTGACATAAACTTTTATTTTATTTTCATACACACCTTAAATTGTTTTTTTAAAAATTCAAATTGAAATATAAAAAATATTTTAATTATTATGATTATGAATGATGTATATTTCTATGTATAAACAAAATGTTCACAAGTGTTCACGTATGTAAGTATGAATAATAATTATACAATATATACGGTTAGATAGAGTTATAGATAAGAGATTGTTATTTATGAACCTCCACTTCGAAGTAGCATTGTTTTGTCATACGTGCATGTTTGTGAAATGTGAACATAAACATTGTTTTCAGAACATTCTGGTGTTTGAAATATGAAAAACAAACATATTAAATATCATAATATGACCTTATTTGGCGAATTAATATTTTCAAATAATCTGAAATATGTTTGTAGCATTTTTAAATTCGTATTTTAATTCTAATTTATTCATACTAAGTTGGGAAATGATTTGAAAATTCTGAAAGCCTTTACTGTATTTAAAAGTGTATTAATAATATTACAATGCTATTATAAGAGACTGAATTATATTAGAATAATTTTTATTTATAGGTTAAAGTCTCTCGATTGATAGTGTGATAATTATAACATTAAAAAATATATTATTATTATTATTTTAATATTCAAGTTCAATTTTCTTCATATTTTTTAATGATTGTATTACTATTCACTACCTAAAAATATAAAGTGATACCTTCATAAAAAGAAACTCAATCTCATTAATTTATCTTAGTTTTAGCGATTGATTTTTACTTTTTTATTAAATCAGTTTCAATTTATTTTTGAACGAATATACTATTTTGTTATTTTCAGCAGTAGCTCTGAATTCTCTGAAGTCTCAAATATCCGAACGGCCTGTCCACGCGTTAATTATGAGAAAATAAATTTCACTTTAATGTTAAAAACGTATTCATAATATTTTTTAAGTAATCAAAAATATTATCTTCTATAACAAAGTTTATATTTACTCAATTTGAATAAGTTTTTTAATTATTTATAAAAAGATTGATATTTTGAAAATTTAAAAAATGTCATCATATTTAATTTTGTTCTTAAATTTATATAAAAATATTTGTTAAAAACAGTATTTAGTTATATTTATTTATCATTGGTTAGTTAATAGTTTTGATTAATAAATAACTTTAATGACATAGTATAGATATATTATATTATAACCATATATTACATACTACATAGTTATAATATAATTGTTACATTTAATGACAATAATTTTTTACACACAAATTATAAAACATAGTATAATTAAAAATATACAATTAATTTTTAATATAGGCTAACATACAGGTAAGGAATTTTTATGTATTTTTATGTACTTTAAAGCAAACTAATATCCTATATGATACAACTACTGTAAACTTATGCCGATTTATTGTTTACTTAGCACACGGTTACGAAACTATTTTATGTACGTAATAAATTATTATTTAAGTTATAAATCATAATACATAATGTATTTTGTACTTCATGATCTTATATGCTCTTATATGATATCATATGATAAAATAAAATCATTCCAACAATTACCATTGTATTCGAAATATTTTATTTATACAAAGTGTAGCAGAAGAAAACATTTGGTAAATTAAATCAATGTTAACTCAAATATAATACAATTATATACATTATCAATTTATGATAAGCTAATCTAATTTATTGGCTACACGATAAAATCCACCGAAATTGTCTACACGTTTCTTTAGTTTCTATCTCATGTTGTAATATTTTTTCATTGTTTCTATTGATGTTTTCGATTACAGCCAACCACCAAGCATCATCATTTCTCACGCACCCTGAAAATGATAAACATACTTATTAGTTTGTTTTTTTTTTTTTCAAATTTCATTATTATTATTATAATGAGAATGAATGATGATTAAATTAAAAGCAAACAATGGAACTATCTAAATTGTAACTATTTATGAATTTGTAATTGACAAATAAAACATAATTATATTATTAAGTTACAGTTCCTACACCAATATCATTAATAATAATATAATCTATAAAAAATATTATTATTTCCTTCATAATAATGCTATTTTTATTTTAGCACATCATGGGGGGAAGAAGTATGGATTCCTCTCCCCAAGAATCGACTGCTGAATTTTATTCATATATATCATAAATGTGTATATATCAAAATAACTTCATTATTTCTAATACTATTAAAATAATATAAATCGGCCCGACCATTTTCGGTGAAACTAAAAAAATATTTAAAGGAACTAATCAAAATAATACGAATCTCTTCTCCCGCCAAAGTCATGACGATACGTCTTCTGGAAAACTATAATCTTGGCAATAAAAATAAAAAAAAATACCATGTTCACAACACAGAAATATGATTAAAAATAAGGTGCGTATCTACTGTGTTTGGTGAGTAATTTATATTACTTTTATATACGAGTATAAACTATTTTATAGTATTATTATTTATTGAACATGATTTCGTACAACTACGATAATATACTTATAGTACACATCTTCATCCGTATACAGTCTACACTCTACAATAGCGTCAATAGGTATATTTTATGTATCAGTTACAAATATTTTCCTCGCCGACCACATGCAAGCTGAATATTATATTGTTTTAATATTATACAAAATCATAAAATTTTTAACATGATATTATTCTTATAATAATAATTCATATTATTTATTCGATAATATAATAATTACTACAATTAAAATTGAGAAGTAAGCTGTAAGTAGATATATATTACGCAGTTTTTCGGGTTCAGCTGGCAATTGTGCTTTAGGCTGCAACGAATAACTACCACTATAGCGTTTGTCATCAACAGTTTCTTCGAAAATTTGTCTGTACTGTCCATCGTAGCCAACTACAGAGCACCGCTGCTCCTGCGCGAAACGATCACTGAAAAACGTCGGCATTTCGATAATGGACCGTTGCGATCTTGGAATCTTCGACTTCAGATGGCACGCGAAAATTGCCGTACACTGCAAAAGAGCGAAGAATATGGTTCTTTGATGCATTGCCGTCTGCGCAGTGATACGGTACACGTAGTTCTGGATTAAATGGTCACGGTCTCAACGAGGAAAAGAAATTTTTTAAACAAAATGGAAGTCCAGTATGCAAATGACGACCATGTCCATAAACACCTTTCCACTAATATTATGAGAATGATTGACCACGGAAACGTTGCGACGACTCATGGATATGATACCAATAATAATAACAATAATATAATATTAATATTATCATCGAATTATCCGTCCTACATGCACGTATGCACACATCATATGCGTATCATTTTTTTGATAAAAATATTAAATAACATTATACGATTATTATTATACGATGATGTGTTGTTTCGTGCACAAATGTTTGAGTTTGGAAGCAATCGAGGATCTCCAAGTTTAATATAGTTATTATTTTATTTTTTCAGGAAATGCATTTTCCAGAAAAAAATATTTATAGTCAACTGGAAACATTCTTTATTTGTTTATAGAATTCTAGTTGAAGAACTTATTAAATAAGATACTATTTGTACAATGTTTATTTTTAGTTTATACGTATAACAAGTATATAATATTATGGTTAGCGTCTATGGGTACGGACAAATATTTGTAACACTCATTTAAACGAATGTCTGATAAAACCGCCGATTTTTATTGGATTCTCACCATCAATATCGCAGAACGCTTGATGTTATAATTATACATTTCCCTAGATATAGGTTTTTATTAACATCATTCTTTTTTGTTGTTCTACAAATTATGCCTTGATGCATTTTATGAACATCTACAGAATAGATATTAGTATAATAGTTAAGTGTTAAATCTACTTCATATTATTATTATTGCGGTTTGGTGCGTTTTGAACTTAAATTATTATTTTTAATTTGCTTTTTAATGATTTAAATTTTTTTTCTTATGGACCCACAATTAAAATTATCTTTGATTATTATTTCTAATGTATATAATTATACTATATTTGATGAACCAATAATAATCAGTTTTATAATACCAATACTTTTTTTAGGTAAATTTAAATTAGTAACTCAGAGTGTCCAAACACATAAAAACACCAATATATATATATATATATATATATATGTAATAATATAAACATATAAATATATATAATACTTAATTATTATTTTTAAGCTCATTCTACAGAAATGTAGATAACATTGTCAATAATTAAAATTACCTAATTCAATATTCTAATTTTTTTTTTTTTTGTGGAACTCTTATAGTTATATAGGTTGTAACTTTTGAGTTATAACACGATATTTAACAAACATACAATTTTAATTATTTTACAAAATAATAAGTTATATTGTTAAATCAATAATATAATGTGTGTATTAAGAATCAAATATATGTCTAACCATAATAGTAATTTTATCAATGAAAGAAAAACTACTAGTTAGATAATACAGTTATAAAATAAATTAAAATATGTTACTGAAAATATCAAGGAGCTGTAACCCCCATTTCAGCTTAAAACATTTTTTTATTTGTTTTACTGATAATAACTTAATAATAACATAGTTGATAAATAACAAAAAAAAAAAAACACAAATATAATATTTTAGATGAGTTATGACGGGGTTGTTATTTAGGTTTAAGGTTACTGACCGATATCATTCTCCTATTGAACTGAGATTTAGGATTAAGTTCTATAAATTCAATGCATTCTACCTTCCGTTCCACCGATATTTTCGACTTTCATTTTAAGCATTATTATGTGATGTATTATAAACTTGTATGTAATTACTTATTTACAAGTATATGAGTACCTAATATTATTATTTTATGTTTCATATACATTTTTTTTCTAAATAACGCTTAGCATCTGAATAATAGGAATAGATTTGCATACTACTTATTTATTTATTTATATAAATATAAATTACATTAAAGTGAATAAACGATCAACAAATAATACAATATTGATTACATAAACATATAATAAAATTAAATTTAATTCAGCAAATTAGCAGCAACGATAAATTTTATGATGTAGAGATAAGGTTATCAGGACTAAGAGATTCGGCCTGTGATTCCGGAAGTTAAGAATTTCATATTTCTTGGTTATATTAACGCATTTATTATTAAATAAATAATATAATTTTATTTATAAGTTATAACTAATTATTATAATATAACTATTTTACATATTAATTAATAATTTGATTTTTTAAGTAAGATATCGGATTTAACTGATCAATGAGGTACATAAAACAACTTAATTTTATGAGCATTCTTATGACAATAATTTTAAGAGCAAAATTTAAAGCTTTTTATCATGATTTAAAAACAATAAATTCTTTTAGACATAGACTATAAAATCTTACAATATTCTGAGAGCACACAACTTACAATTTTTATTAATTTACTATATTTTGAGTAGAGATATTCGTGAGAAATTGATTCATTAGAGAATATACGACAGATGTAGTAGTTTTCGGGAGTGAAGCATTTAATTTCAATATACATAGATGATGAATATATATCTATAAAAAAAAACAATTACGTCATATTATTTACTTAACAAAGTTTAATACTTCAAATACACGTTTAAATAACTGCTGCACCTACTCAGTTTTTAGAATCTTTTTAAGAATATTGATATGATTGATCGGCCTCAAAACGTTTATCATGTTTGAAATTTGACATTATATACTAATTTTTTTCTAAAAAACCTGTCACGGTGGTCAACTTAAAAAAGATAAACGCGTAAAATATTTAGTATAAAAAATATGCACCGAACAAAATATTAATAAAACTATAAATATTATAATTTATCATGAATTTATATGAATGGAAATCAAGTAAGGCAAATAAAATTAAAATGTCAAATCAGCATCTAAATTAGTAAAATGCATTGATGCGTATTTAAATCTCTTTCTCAGCAGTATACATGATATTCTGTATGGTGGCCTAAGAAAAAAATTCAGAGCGTCTACTATTGCGTGATATAATATAATTACTTGTATTATATTGTTATACACGACCACATTTAGTATAAGAGCTATTATATCTCGAAATTCAACTTTTTTAATGAGTAGATTGTATACTAAAATTATAAGTATAGGTAATTAAAATTTTATTCATATAATATCAGTTGTATAACACGTAAGAACTAAGGTTTAAAAAGAAAATTAATAAAAATATGTTAACAAATCATAAAAATATAGATAAATAATACCATGGTTATAAAATCATTCCTGTGTAATTATTGAATTTTGATTTGAAATGTTTTGCTATGTAGCAATTTTATTGTATTTATAATAATATAATATATAAACACAAGGATTGTAAAAGTAGCACTAATGTGGTTTAAAGAAAATCTGTGTCAAATGCAATGTCAGTCACATTGTATAATTTTACTGCTACATATTTAAATCATTTATATTTTAATATTGTTTATTACTAGACAAAAGTAGATCCATGACTGAGTATGATTAGAGGGAAGGACTAAACACAAAAAATTAAAATTAGACACTCATAAGTGTTTAAAAAATAAATTAAGAAGTACCTACTTTCATTTCAACAACCAATTTAGAGTTAGTAAAACGTGTTAATATTAATGATAAAGAATAAACGACACTTACCTACACATTTTATAAAATTATTAATTAGTGGAAAAGATAATTTTAAAATAATAAACAGCCCTTATAGTTCTAGCACATCCATATTAATCACTTACACGTCATCAAATGGAATGTTATTATCCGTGGTATGTACCGACACACTAAAATATCATATTAGTGTTATAAATTATAATCATAATAATAATAACAATAACAATAACAAAATCTATATAGACATAATAAATATATAGTATTATATACTAACTTAATTGTAACACTATATGCATGCTAAACATCTCGATGTATTTAATTATAACATACCTGTACAAAAAAAGTTTTCAACAAATTATTATTATGCTTTTCCTATCTATACACATTGAATTGTTGTAAAGCAATACTGTAAAATGTGATACTTTTTAAAGGTTACTCAATGAAAAATTATCTTCGATTTTTATTATAACTTTTTTTTTTTTAATGTTTTTTTTTACTTTTTTTCAAGTGATAACATATATTTTTAATTTTATATGAGCGATGTAGGAGTTTGAGCACGAGTGTACCATACACTACTTTAATCATATACGTACTAAGTTCGTAAACTAAATACGAATAGGTTTTTATCAATGTTCTAAATCGAATGTTAATATTTTTAAATAGTTCTTTCCCTAAATAAAATTACATGCCAAAATATTATTCTGATTTTAAATCTAACAACGAGAAAAATCAAATTTTTTCTCATATATTTTGTAGCTATTCAAATCTTAATTCTATCGTACTAAATCCAACTTTTATATTTTAAGATAAATTTTGAAATAGATATTTAATGTAAAATTAATAAAACTCTTCTAAAATATTATACCACAAATATATATTTATATTGAAATATGTGCAATTTACAAACAAATGTTTACATAATTAATTATAATTTAACAACATTGAGTAAAATATAAAAATAGTAATAAGTAACTTGTATACAATAAATAAACATGTCTCATTGTATAGTTTAATAACGTTAAATAATTCATACTACATGAGATTAAGACATTATAATTATAATAACAGAATAGTTTACGCATAAATTGATTTATTTAAAAAAAAATATATCCAATTAAAAATCGATACTGTCTACTTCGTATCAAATAATTATTAAAGTATAACTTGACAATGTTTTGAATAAAATAATAAAATATGAAAGAATGCGTGATTTATCATTGATTAATAAGTGTACACCTAATAAAAATGAAACATGCGTATCATAAAATTTTGTAAATAGCAAACATATTTTTGAGCAATGGCACTGGATATTCCTTTAATTCAGGCAAGACACGTCTATTTATTCTAAAATTGATTTTACTTATTACATCATTTGTATACAAATTTTAAATATATTTTTTTTATAATAATAATGAAAAAAACAGGTTACTAATGAATGGGTCAAAGTTCCTTAAAATGCTTAAATATTCTG